AAAGCCACAGGATTTTGTCAATTCTTTTAGCCGAAATTGAGATAATCACTAATGACAATAACAAAAACATGTCTAATCATTGCAGACAAAGACCTTGTTTTATTATTTTTACCTTATAAAAAGCTGTTTATATCTCCATGGTCGCGGGTCGCCACTACAGGCAGCCGCCATCTTGCACCAGCATCTTGTCTAAGGACAAACTGCGGTGGCGGCGTCAAAAACGGTTTTAGTTGTAATACTATAAATGTAATATTTGTTGTCTGTCATTGTAGCTGGGATAATTTTACTTATTAAAGCTCATAATCTTACCACTTGAAACATCACTAGCCCTGAAGCTGCTGGTAGACATCGCGGTTGGAATTATCAAAGGTTTTTGGCCTCTGAGACACCCCGTTACAATTCCTTTGCATTTGGAAATGGGGGGTGGGGGTGGGGGGAGGAACAGGGAAGATGATTCAACCACTCAACCACTAGATGTCGCTGAAAACAACAAATCCTACACACTGTGCCTTTAAGTTTTAGACCTACCAGGACTACAAAGATTGTGTCCTCTGTGTGTCGTGGTCTACGTGGCATGCAACCCCGAAACTGAGACACAGCCATAGTATACCTTTCAATTTTGAACAATTTTTTTGTCCTTGTGTGTCTATTTATATTTTGGTAAAATTTCTCATAAAACATTGAATGTGTTTTATTGCAACTTTCAGGGTACAACATCAAAAGTTCTAATAAAGAACTGGCGACATCATGCATAACGTTATTTACAAAGTTTGACCAAAACAGCAACATCTCCATCATTTCTTTCATCAGGTCTTTCATTTGTTTCTAACAGTAGTGGCTGTGTTTTTGGACAGTTTTACCTCATGACATATAGCAAGTTAAAACCACCTTTGAGGAAATATTCTAAAAAAAATGCTTCTTTTATTCATTTTCCACGAGTCAGCCTCAGGCCAGAGTTTTAAACTGCACTCATCTTATAATGAGAAATGACAGAGTTGTAACTGTTTTAATCGAACCATGATGCTCAATGTGAAACTATCTGTTGTCACTCAGGGTAAGTGATGAGGATGATGCGCAGCTACTGACTCAGTTATAAGCAGTTTTCTAAGGTGTTAGTTGTGGCGGCCATGTTGAACTGGAACGACTCCAGAAGGTAATTAGTGGTAGATGTCTGTCCAGTGGTCCATGACAGATTCTGCTAAGATACAAACAAACACACAAAGCCACTGGCAACGGGACATAATAATTGCATTTCCAGAACACGTTCATGAAACTAGGGATATGACATGAGACAATATGCAGATAAACATTTAGTGCATCACTTCCAGTCAGCAGCAGTGATGGAGAGGAAACGATGGTTGCTGGAGGCTAAAGGGCAATTTGGCTTAAATGAGAGATGCATTTGGGAGAGCGGGAGTGATACACACCACCCACTACAGGAAGAAGGGCATCTCGAGTGTGTGAATGTGTGTGTGTGTGTTGGTAATGGGTCTACCTGTGCAAAAATAAGCCAAGTCTTCCTCAGATGTCCACAGTAACAAACAGAGCAGTGGGTCTGGAAATCTCCTCTCAAGAAACCAGGAGGTGACACCACAGTGTGTGTTGGTGTCTGTTTGTGTGTAGGAGAAATGTGCGTTGTTCAAAATGGTATGTCCGAATAAACAGGAATCCAGTGGATTTCTTGTTAAAACTTTATTCTCAATCTTCTGACTCCAAGGTTCACAGTGCAGTACTCAGCAGGCCTCAGTAAGGCCTTGGGCTGAACCAAACAAAACACGTAAGCCCTGCTCCGAGCAGAGACTCTGCAACACACTAACAACTTCTTTTAAGGCTGCAATGATCAGAAAGTATAAAATACAAAACTGCATCTAACATTCAAATAATTAGTTACAAAATTTCCTTCTTGTGTGTGTATGTCTTTGTATTAGTGTGTGGAAGTATTCTGACATTATACAATGCTTATGAGGACATTTTGTTGTTGTGTAGACATTTGCCTGGTCCACACAATAAAAAAAAACATTTGTGGGTTAGGGTTAGGCTGCAATGTAAAATCTAGACAAGTACAGAGGTGTGTGTGTGTGTGCGTGCGTGCGTGCGTGCGTGCGTGCGTGCGTGCGTGCGTGCGTGCGTGTGTGTGTGTGTGTGTGTGAACGGGGTTTACCTACAAGGGGACTTTTTTTTAACCAAAAAAAGCAGGCCTGTGGGGACCGAAGTGAATTGTGGGGACCACTTCTAGGTCCCCTTTTTCTACATATAGCTTTTAGCTACCACATTTTAGCTGCCACTTTGGAGAAAAAAACAGCAGAACAGTATGTAAAGCAGCAGTTTTATCCACTAATTTGCTGATTTTAGTTTTATTACTTTGAACTTTAAGCTACTGTTTTGCTCATTGTTGTTCTTGTTTCTTTTAAAAACAAGCTCTCTGAGACCTGCGCTGTAAAGCATGGGGTCCCTCAGGGATCCGTGCTGGGCGCCCTACTGTTCTCACTTTATCCTTTGGCTCTCGGTTTTCTCCTACATTCATTAAATGTTATTTTCCACTGCTATGCTGATGATTTACAGCTGTACATGCCCTTCACTGTGGGGAACTGGGTCAATTTGTCTAAATTGGAGGCCTGTCTGTCAGCAATTAGGGGTTGGTTATCTAATAATTTCCTGCTTCTTAACGTTGATAAGACTAATTAAATCATCATTGGACCCAAGAAGTTCCATGGCTTGAGACAAGCCATGGAACCCTGCAAAATGGTAATCAGATCATTAGATGTCAAGAAAAAGTTAGAAACCTAGGTGTGTGGTTTGATCCCAAGCTTTCTTTTGACTTCCGCTTAAAGGAAGTAACTAGGATTGCCTTTTACCACCTTAGGAACATCGTCAAAATCCGGCACATCTGACTGAGATGGCCATTCCAGAACGTTGTACTTGTTCCTCTGCATGGATGCCTTAGTAGATTTTGAGCAGTGTTTAGGGTGGTTGTCTTGTTGGAAGATGCAGCCCCGGCTTCAGCAGCTTCAGCTTTGTCCCTGATTCCTGGACATTGGTCTCCAGAATCTGCTATTTGTTGGAATCCATGCGTCCCTCAACTTTAACAAGATTCCCAGTCCCTGTACTGGCCACACAGCCCCACAGCAAGATGGAACCACGCCCACATGTTACTGTAGGTAGCAGGTGTTTTTCTGGGAGTGCTGTGTTCTTTTTCCTCTATGCATAACGGCCCTTGTTCTGCCCAAATAACTATTTTAGTTTCATCAGTCCACAGCACCTAATTCCAAAATGAAGCTGGCTTGTCCAAATGTGCTTTAGCATACCTCAAGCAGCTCTGTTTGTGATGTGGGCAGCGAAAAGGCTTCCTCTGCATCACTCTCCCATACAGCATCTCCTTGTGTAAAGTGTGCTGAATAGTTGAATGATGCACAGTGACTCCATCAGCAGCAAGATGATGTTGTAGGTCTTTGGTGCTGGTCTGTGGGTTGACTCTGACTGTTCTCAACATCCTTCACTTCTGTTTATTCGAGATTTTTCTTGGTCTGCCACTTCCAGCCTTGACTTGAACTGTGCCTGTTGTCTTCCATTTTCTCACAGTTTCTCACAGTGGAGACTGAAAGCTGAAATCTCTGAGATAGCTTTCTGTATCCTTCCCCTAAACCATGATGGTGAACAATCTTTGTTTTCAGCTCATTTGAAAGTTGTTTTGAGACTCCCATGCTGTGACTCTTCAGAGAAGATTCAAAGAGGAGAAAAACTTACAATTGCCCCCCTTAAATACCCTTTCTCATAATTGGAGTGGCCCTGTGATGGACTTGCGACCCATCCAGGGTGTACCCCGCCCCTCGCACTGTGACTGCTGGATATGGGCACCAGTGACCCACGAGACCCTGAAAAGGAATAAGCGTGTACAGAAAATGGATGGATGGTTGGATAATTGGAGTCACCTGTGTATGGGGGTCAAGGGTCACTGAACCTACCAAACCAAATTTGAGTTCCAATAATTAGTTCTAAAGGTTTTGAAATTAATTAAATGACAATGGTGCCCAAATTTATGCACCTACTTAATTTTGTTTAACCAATTATTGCACACTTTCTGTAAATCATTTAAGCTTCATTTCACTTCTCAATTATCACGGTGTTTGTCCCCTATATGATATATTTTACTGAATTTTTTCTATTCAAACAATCAATGATTTAGAAAGGTAAATCAGGAAAATTAACAAGGCTGCCCAAACTTTCACACCCCACTGTAGCAAACGAGTTGCGCAAACATTCTCTTCACATTCCAACCTGAAATCTAGTGCAGGTTGGACTTCCCCAGGGCCACCCATTTTTCTGATCCTCTTTGTGGTGTTCATGTACAGGACCTCAGTGTACAATTGTGGAGAGGATAGTGTCTGGATTAGGAGGTTCATGAGCTATGGTTCTGTTGGTTTCTTCAAGTCAGTACATTCAGCTTTAGCTGTGAAGGTTTGAATGTGACGATTGACAGTCTACACATTTGAGATCATTTTTCAGAACCAGGTTGTGTCTTTGCTCAGGTAGTGGAGTGGAAGTATCTTTCACTTATTTATGAGTGATGACAGTGTTGAGCGTTATCTGTGGGGATCTCAGAGGCCACTGCTCCTCTGTGTTTCAACCATCTGATTAGGATTTGTCCAGTCCTACTGGAAGGAAACCACGAGGAAGACCCAGATCTCACTGGAGGGATTATATATTCTCTCAGATCTGGAACCACCTTGAGATCTTCCAAGACAATCAGGAGAGCATTACTGGAGAGAGACCTGTTAGAACTGCAGTTCAACCTTGGATAAGCAGTTGTAGATGGAAATAGTCACCTGAATATGGGAAAGTTTGAATGAAAACAGCAGATAACCACAGTTTTTCTAATGAACACACATGTTTTTCATTGTATATTTGATCATGAGTAAATCTGAGTGGCTCTTATGTAATGACCTGTGACTTCTAAAATTGTTGTCTTATTTTATATATTTTTTTGTCTTCTGTTTCTGCAGGTTCAATTGCAAGATGTTCCTACATCAAGTACCACTACTCCTCTACTGCAATACCCAAAAACCTCTCGTACAACATCACCCGGACAATAAGACAGGATGAATGGCACTCCCTCCGTAAGTCTGCCCTTCATGGGATTTATCATTTACATTACTTTCATTTATGTGGCAACTTTTCAAACTAGAAAAAACTTTAGGTGCCACTGGGCTGAAATATGTATCATGATATAAGCATTTCGTATTAGTTGATACTGATGATAAATGATTAGTTTTTAGTTTTACCTGGTGACCTGACCTTTCCTCGGTTATACACAATTTCCTCTTGATCTGTTGCACTCATTTTCTTCTTTCACTCCAAGTCACGTTTATATTTTTGAATAGTTCTGAGGCACGGTGTTGAAATAGGAAACTGCTGTTCTGCATGTTACTCAGCAGGTTGTTGCTTGCTGACCAAAGAGTGAGTGAGTTAGCTGATGCCACAAACCTTGCTTAGCAAGGCTTTAGCTGTGTAGTGATTTTACAGCTTCAATTAGGTGGAAGCTTTGTAAGCAGCATGAGGCTGACCGCAGATATTTTATTAAGCTAGAGGAGGATACATAAAGAACAAATTCCACCAGTGTGGAAAGAGGAGGTGGATAATAATTTTACAGCATCATTAGCTGTTATGTGTTGTTGCCACGATCTCTGGTCCCAGTAAGTCAGTAATTTTCATTTAACTTCCGTAAGCAAAATTATCAAAAATCTATCAAATGTATTTTCTGTACATATTCATCATGCATCTATCGCAGTACCACTTTTTTCTTTGTGATGGTCTTAAAATTGTCTTGATTCTTGCTGCTCGCCAAGAAAAAAAACTGAAAGTACAAAATGTTTTTATGAATCATTAATTCTTTGTAGAGTTTCTCTACAAATCATCACATTAGAAAATATTTATCTTTCAATGTAATGATAAAACTTACAACTGTAATTTGTTAACCCACAGATGGTTTCATGGGGATAAATCACCCACTCGTTCATTATTTTTTGTGTATGCTATCATTAAACATAACTGTCCTTGGCTTGGCAAATATTAATTTTGTTTTACTTTTTCATTTTATAAAATTCTTTATGCTCCCAGTAACTGTTTCATTTTAAAATCCATTATGAATGCATTTTTTAATTTGCCATAAAATATATATATATTTTGTCGATTAAAGAAAAACCTTAATTGTGGAGTGTTGGAAAACTAAGGGCTTATAAGGAGCTCAAAATAAAATGTTATTTAAATTTCAAAGATTGTTTTAGAGGATAAAAATATTTAAAATTTGTATTTTCAGGCAAATAAATTAGGTGGTCAGTTTTTACTCTAAGGAACACTTACTCTCAAAAGATTTAAGGACAGTTTAAAGGTAAATGTTTTATGGATGGATGGATGGATGGATGGATGGATGGATGGATGGATGGATGGATGGATGAATTGTTGGATGGATGGAGGTATGATGGGTGGATGAATTGTTGGTTTGATGGAGGGATGGATGGTTGGTTGGATGAATGGTTGGGTGGGTGGAGGGATGGATAGTTGGATGGATGGAGGATGGATGGATGGATGATTGATGGATGGATAGATAGATTTTTGGTTGGTTGGATCGATTGATGGTTGGTTGGATGGATGGATGGATGGATGGATGGATAGATGATTGATGGATGGATAGCTAGATTGTTGGTTGGTTGGTTGGTTGGATGGATGGATGGATGGATGGATGGATGGATGGATGGATGGATGGATGGATGGATGGATGGATGG